TTTTTTTTTTTTATTTTCTACGAAAAGAATATTGAGATACAAAAAACATTCGCAGCCTAATGACAGCTAGTTCAGATTTCCAATTTGCTCGTGAAAAAAAATCTCTGTCATTGCTCCGAATCTAGATTTCTCCATTTAGTTGGCTGGTTTCCCCAGTACCGCTAACAAAGTGAAAATTGCAGCTGTTGCCGATTATCGTTGAACGCGTACTACCGAATACAAACAGAACGAATCGGTAAATTCGCGACGCGCAAGAGGAGAGTTCCGGTCTACCGTAATTTGCTCGAAGCCACAGGGGGATCTCACGGTAAATGTGACGAGGGAACAGGTTGCCGAGAAACTTAATGATAATGAAACTTCCTAATAAAATAGAATATCTATACTTGCTCTTCAGCCATATCATGCGGATACACAGGAGTACAATGTAATATCAGGTCAGTCTCGTATATACAACATCGAATTATCGAACAAACACGTTACCTCGTACCTTTTATGTTTGTTGTACATTATTGGATAAAAAAAGATCCTTTCTACAGATTGTACAGTATAATACAGGGCAAGATTACAAAGTTAACGACCCGTTGCTTGCATATTGTCCAATAAAGCAAAAATCGAGTAAGACCCCTTTATGATCTGCAATGAGTATACTGTGTGTACCACTATTGTACAGCACAGGTAGCATCGTATAGTTGATCGACGTGTACGTACCGTGATAAAAGTTTCCAGAGATAGCACGTAAAATACGCTGGCTTTTATAGTTATCGACTGCCTGGTGAACATCGTGGATAACGTGAACATCTGCACGATATTAGTTAAACATTCGTTATGCCAGCCTGAGAACCATTGGCTTCTGTCTAACGTCGAGCTCTGAACAATGATTTATGATATGAAATTCGTCATTTTCAGAATATTTCGTGCAACTCGTGCCGTGAAATTTTATTCGTTCGTTTGCACTCTCGCTTCCTTGCGTTTATTATTCGTCTATTATTCAAATTTGAATTCGAGCAACTTGATTTTTGAGAGGATGTTCAATTGAAACCAAAAAAGATCTAGTTGCAGTGGCTGTATAAATATATTTATAACAATATACCAATTGGATCCAAGTGATTTGAATGTCACATAGTTTGATAGTATGAATGTGACAAGTTTGATCAAAATATACTTAATTGAAGCAAGAGTATGAGTATAGATATATGTATAAATACTTTTTGTACCTATTATGCTTCTGCAATTATTGTATATATCATGTAATTTAATTATTTATATTATATGAATAATATAAATAGAATTAATTATAAGCATATATGTATGTTACTTATAATTGATGAACATATTAGGTATTCAGAGCAGAACCTCCTGCGTGACTCTGAACTCCCATTATATTAATACACTATCTAGAACTAACGTTCTGGATGATTTCAGGTTATTAAAATTCAAGTTATTTGAATCCATGTAACCTGATTAACACTAAACGTACCGGCATTTTATATATACCTATCTTATCTATCGCGGTACATAAGGTATGTAAAGAATTTTTCTCAGTAGATCCCTCGCGGTACATAAGGTATGCAGAGAATTTTTCTTGGTAAAAAAAATGAAGCTAAGAGAAAAACAGAAAACGAGAAATCGAACAATCAGGTAATATAAGAATTTACAAAAAGTCAGATTAAGCGAAAGAAATAACAACGAATGTACGATTTTAAAATAAATTTTGAAAAGGGGGGGGGGGTCATTTGATCCCGCTTGGTACGTTTAGTGTTAATCAATTAAAGATGAACATTCTGTTAATATAATATTCATTTTTCGATACCTTTCAATTAATTTCTGTCATTAAACTCTATTTTTTAAATATCGAAACGAATGAAAGAAAGTTCCAAAATTCCTCTATGCGTACAGTGTGTTTTCATTATTACGTCTTCCATCAAGATTTCACAGTTTCATGAAATTTCGAAAAGTATTTACAACATTATAATATCTGAACAAGGTTCAAGGAATTTTATCTATCGTTTTTATCCGTTTACATGAAATTTTCTAAAAAAATTTCACTTCCGAATAGACGAGATACACGGCACGAGACAATGGCGTTGGTTCGATGTGTCTAATGAACGCTTACCATATAGCTCAGTTCATTTCCAATCCAACAGATGTAGAAGAGTTGAGATATGCCTGCGCTCAGATAAATACCGAACTTTATGATGTCTGAGTTTTGCCCTCCGACCTGTTTCGAATGACGCAAATCGATCACGATCGGATCAGTACGTTCGGCCATCATGTCTTACCACAATAGCCTGAAAGCCAGTCAGGCAAATGATCGAAGTACTCGAAAGCATCTGAACGAACATGCTCATGCTGAACAACTTGTTGTAATCGTTGCACATAGGTATTAACCGCTGATGAAATTGAAGACATATCTTGTAACGACGGAGAAACATATTGTTCGATTTCCTCTCGTTGTAACGAATATTCGTGCTAATGTGTTCATCATAATAAATCTTAGCTGGCTGTAAAGACAACGTCGCGATACAATGGAAATTCGCGACATTTAGAAATGAAAATTAATGCTTTAAAGTGTAGACGTGGATTTTCCATGTACGATGCATTTTTTGATCAATAATTTTCTTTATATACATTACATGGGGTGTCGCAATTTCTGCGATTCTAGCGATTCTACATGAAAAAATTGAGACGAGAAAAAGAATAACATTTTTCTTCTACTTAATGCCCTTGACATGACAGTAATTTACATTTAAATTTAAATAAAGAATGCAGAATATTCATTTGAGCCTTTTCTTTCCAAGAAAATAGATTTGAATATTAATGTTAGAAAGTTTAAAGATTGGCCTGTTACACGTTGATACATTTTTTTTCAGTTTAATTTGAATTTTGTAACTTTGCAATTTTGACGAAATATTTTACGAAAAGATCTTATTCTTCTTTATTTGTTTTTACATTATTCGATTATTCACTCCTGTTCGGTTCAGAATTAATCCAAGTAAAAGTAGTTAAAAAATAGCGAAAACTGACACACCCTGTATGACAAAAGTAAAGTAAGCATTATATTCGAATTACCTCGAATACGGAAGACCCATATTTACATAGTAAGGATTAAATCTCGTTTTCTTACATTCTCGTCCGTTTCATTCGTGCAATTTTCAAAGCTCGCATTCAACATGTCAAACAGTTGAGTGAGCAAAACGCAGATCACGCTCGAAATACTGTCTATCCCTATTAATCCTACTAAACCGCCAGAAATGGCGGAGATTTCTATGGCGAAACTTATCTCGTGCGAAGGTGATGCCGTTGTATTAAAAGGATACTGGGCTCTGATCGGTAGTCCGTTCTCCATTGGTGAGAATAATAACAGAACAATTGCCAACGTAAATCCTAACACACTAAACCCAATGAAGAAAATACGTTGTCGTTTGTAATACTTGTCGATAAGTTCCTTAACATATTCGACTTCTACAAAGAATATCATATACAGTTAATTAGCTAAAGAAAGTGATCGGTTAATTCAGTGCTAATGCTTTATAGGTTCAGCTACCAGTGCATGAAAAAAATACAGCAATAAGTGAACAAGCCTGGATGAAATGTTGCAAAATGCAATGGTCACATGCAAGATACAGCTACGTTAAATGCGCCGTGTAACTCTGAATGAATCCTTGATAGAGTGGATTTGACAGGAGAACGTCATGAAAAAAAAAAAAGAAAAAGAAGTACTAATAGAATAGGATCCTTAGTGGGCCTGAACTAATGAAATCAATGGACGTCACTCGCTACATCATTTGCTACGTCATTTTACATTCAAGATACGTCTCTCAGTTTGCGTTCATGTTTTCATCTAACAAGAGGTGTACCTTTTACACAAGGCATCGCTCGTGTTGTCCGTCACGTCGATGAATTGGAATGATAAAGTGTATGAAGTGCATTATATCACGTCGAAAAATATTGATATTACTTCACGAAATCATCTGCATCGTAAATCTACTAACGTTTCATGTTTCTTGCAAATTATTGTTCGGCACTAAGTTAGAGTAAATACAATTTTTGATCTAATCTTTCTTGTAACATTGGCTAGATCCACTAGGTTGCATTTTATCGATGTTTGAAGAAGTTTCAGTTTTCAGCAAGCTGTTGTTAAACTGAAACTTCTCTTATTATTATTTCGTCATTTCGACTTCAGATTTTACACTTTGATTTTATTGACTATTCTCGAGATTTTCTCATCGCAGAAACAGTGGTTTGAATACGAAGTATCAATTGCATGAAGTTATTTTCTCGTGGTTTTGAGCTTTTATTTCTTGGGATTTTAGATCTTAGAAATAAACTTGCTTCGTACTATAGTTTACTTCACTAAAAATATTAATAATTTTATATCTTTTGTTATGCAGTTCAATTATTTCCGGACGATTTCTAGTTAGATGAGCTTTGACGTTCCATCATTCATAAAAGTTCAACGAATCTACTTTCACAATTCAAAATTGTTTTTTCAACTTTCGCTTCTACTCTTCTA